CGATTTTTTTTTTAGGGGGGAATGATATATTTTTGAAGGGAAATGGTATAGGCAATATGGCGCGAAAATCTGAGCTTTTATTTTCTCTCTTTTATTTCTTTGTTTTCCTTTCTGACGCAGGCGATTCATTCAGAATGTCGAAGCAACAAACAAGGGCAGAGTAAAGTGAATGTAAACAAAGATTTTTTCTTTATGAATGTTTACACGTACGATCGCTAGCATGGTTTGGCCATTAGCCCCGCGTAGCCTAAGAACATTTTTATACCCGCGTTCTCTCAAAGCTGATCTGCAGAAGTGAAGGGACACCGCAGGAACCCGAACAGCAGTAGCGAAGTCAGCTTGGGTCAGCTTTATTACCCGAGTTGCATTTTGTAGGTTCTACAGCTTAGTGAGCATAGTATTATGTAAGAAGCGAGACGGGTATGAATTTCGCCCCAGGAGGAGGAGGAGGAGGTGGAGGAGGAGGAGGAGGAGGAGGAGGAGGAGGAGGAGGAGGAGGAGGAGGAGGAGGAGGAGGAGGAGGAGGTGGAGGTGGAGGGAGGGGAGGGGAGGAGGAGGGGGAGGGGAGGGGAGGAGGAGGAGGAGGGGCGGGGAGGAGGAGGAGGAGGGGAGGAGGAGGAGGAGGGGTGGGGGAGGGGAGGAGGAGGGGGAGGAGGAGGAGGAGGAGGAGGAAGAAGAGGAGGAAGAAGAGGAGGAGGAGGTGAAGTAGGGGGAGGAGGAGATAAAAGTGAAGGAGGAGGAGGAGGAGAAGGTGAAGCAGGGGGAGGAGGAGGTAAAAGTGAAGGAGGAGGAGGAGGAGTAAGAGGTGAAGGAGGAGGTGAAGAAAGAGGAGGAAGAAAAAAGGGAGGAGGAAGATTAGGAGCAGAAAAAAAGAAGAAATAGAAGAAGATGAAAGAGGAACGTAAATAGAAAACGAAGGCATATCTCTGCGCTGAAAGTGATGCAGGTTCCTCTCTGTAATGGTGGGAAGGGGATGAGATGTACATTTTTAATGAAGGTAAGTAGACTCTAAATTGCACAGATGACTGGAGGGAGGCTGCAATTGCATGTCGAGGATGGGAATGTTGGTGCATCGTGAAAGCGAGAATGGCAGAAGCTCCTGGGCATCGAGTGTGGAGTAAGTGTAAACATTTTTGTTGATTTTTAATATTTTACGAGCTCTAATTGTACTCGAAGTGTAGTAAAAGGCCCTATTAGTCACAAAAGCAGGGTTATGTGCAAATAAACCCGCGCTAGTCGTGAAGAACAGATCTGTTATCAAATAAGTGCATATAATGATGGATGGAACTTTAAAGATACATATGTACGTGCTCATGTGTAGGCCTTTGTGGGTGTGTTTAAAGGTGCAAGGGCAGTGTTGACGGTGTAAAAACAAATTAAAAAATACAGGCAAAATATGCGCTATGAAACATTTTAAGGAAATGTGTGGCTTTGCACGAGAAGGTTACGAAAGAAATTATGAGATTATGAGGCCTTCAGAGAGACAATGGAAGACAAAAATAGTTCGTGGTGCGCAGATGTGTTTGTGATATGCAGTGAAGAGGGACAGCAGTAGAACACATGAGCTTTACGTTATATTTTCGGAAAATATAAAGATAGATCGTTTGAGAACATTATTTAAAGGGTTATATGAACCATGAGAAAATAACGGCAAAGTTAAAGACTGCTGTAAAGTGTAAGACGGAAATTCGTGATGTGATGAAATGAAAGGACATCAAATAAGAAAAAAAAATACAATAGAAATGTTTTAAGATTATATTACGGTTTACTGATATAAAGACAGATCATGGAGTACAAACAAAACAAAAATACAGTTGCAGAGGCCTTGTGACTTTCAAGTAAGAGTGCGAGATGCAAGATTCATGCACGAGGCACAAAAACTGTTTATTTCCGAGAGTACCTTTCACTTATAAAATTCTGAACCAGCCGTGACAAGGTGCAAATTAATTTAACCGGAAAGATCGACCGCAGAGAGCGAGAAAACAGGAAATAATTATTCGAATACCGTGCCAGGGAAGAACAAGAGAAAAATTATCCGGGGACAGAGAGACAATTTCACGGATTCCTACAGAACTTTATGAAGTGTTCCCCATCAGTCAAGTCGCCACCTTGGATGAAACACATTAACATACCAGGGCCAGAGTAGCATGCCCAGGGTACCCTTCCCCTCCCCTCCCCTCCTCTCCACTCTCCTCTCCTCTCCTTTACCTTACTTTTTCTTTTCGAATTCTTATCTCTCCTCTGTACTTCTTTCTTGTTCCCCTCCCTCTCCTCCCCTCCCCTCGGCCACTCCTCCCTTCCCCTCCCTTTCCTCCCCTTTCCACCCTTCTCTCCCCTCCCCTCCCGTTCCCTCCCCTCTCTTCCCTTCCCCTCCCCTTCCCTCCCTTCCCTTCCCTCCCCTCTCTTCCCTTCCCCTCCCCTTCCCTCCCTTCCCTTCCCTCCCCTCTCGTCCCTCCCCTTCCCTCCCTACCCTATCATCCCCTCTCCTCCCCTCCCCTCC